CTGGGCAGGATGGAGCAGGCACTTCCCACCGTGCAGCAGGCAGAGCCTGTGGGGCAGCCTGAGCGCAAGGGAAAGGCAGAGATTTTGCCTTTCCCCCCCTACTGCTCTTGAGCCCTGGTGACACAGGACATCCCAAGGCTAACAACGTGTTCCTTCTGCATTTGATCTCCAGCCTTTTGACTCTGGAGAGCTAAATGCGAGGGCATTGGAGGCTGGGGGAGCATTTGCATTCAGATCTGACTACAAATAGAGGCTGGCGAGGTGACCGCTGTTGAGATGCCCTCGCACTGCTCTGCGGGACACGCACAAAAAAAGAAAGCCCCCTTCCGTGAGAATTTAGCTCCTCAAGCGGGGGTTTGCATCCACTTTAGGGCCCCTGTCCCCCCTTCCCGAGCACTGCTTTGACTCACCTGAGCCACACTTGCGGCCGGTTTTTCCCGGGGGGCACAGGCAGTGCCCGGTGGCTGGGTTGCAGGACGCGTTGCCGACGCAGTCACAGAGCTGCTGGCATCCCTCGCCGTACGTTCCCTCCTTGCAGCCTGTTTTCAGAGGTCAGATACGGCACGGGCAGTGCGAGATCCCACCTTGGGATCCTGCCTGTTCCTGGGAGGAGGACGGGTACCTGTCTGGCAGCGTCCCGGGGGGCACAGGCAGTGCCCGGTGGCTGGGTTGCAGGACGCGTTGCCGACGCAGTCACAGAGCTGCTGGCATCCCTCGCCGTACGTTCCCTCCTTGCAGCCTGTTTTCAGAGGTCAGATACGGCACGGGCAGTGCGAGATCCCACCTTGGGATCCTGCCTGTTCCTGGGAGGAGGACGGGTACCTGTCTGGCAGCGCTCGCCGTGGAGCCCGGCGGGGCCGCGGCCGCGGCCCGGGGGGGGGGCCCCGGACCCGTGGCAGCGGCCGGTGACGGGGTCACAGCCTGCTCCATGCTCACAGTCGCAGCGCTCCCGGCAGCCCGCTCCATGGAAACCCGGGGGACAACCTGGGATGGAGCCAGGTGCAGAGCTCGTTAAAGCACTGCTGGGGTGAAGCCAGGCTCAGCTGTAGCTGTCTCTGCAGCAAAGCCTCCATCAGCCCACCAGAGAGAAGCAGTGAGCCTTCCTCTTCGAGCAGAGACCAGGTGTATGCAGTTCTCTCTGAGAGTGCCCAGGTGCATGGAGTTGTGCTTAGTGGTCCTGGGCAGGGCTACCTGCTTCCTGCAGCACATGTGGTTGTGGAGCACAAGTGGTTCAGCTCCAAAGCATTTACCTGGCTACCCACCCCTAAGCTGTGCAGTGGTGATGTGTGTGCTCAGCTGCCTTGGGAAAGCACCTCCGTATAGTGAATAGAATAGAGAATAGAAATTACCTTGTCTGTGACTACTCTGCTACCTGGGAAGGATTTGCTGCAAACACCGATAAGAAAAGAAGAGCCCAGCGCTACACCCAGACACGTGTGCGACTGCAGCGGGTCACAGCTTGGTCCTGTGCTCCTGCTCTCTGGATAAGCTTTAGAAAACCACACCCATTGCAAAGGCAGGGGGGGGTCCGCTGAGCAAACCACTAAGACGCGCACA